CCCATTTTATATACTCATATATTATTTATTTATTTACTGTGCTTCTATACCGCTGTTCTCAGCCCGGGGGCAACTCACAGCGGTGTACAACATAGAAAGGACAGGGTACAAATTACAAGACACAATCTAAAATCAATCTAGCAATAACCAAAAACATCGTCATCAAAACCATCAACAATATCAGTAATACAAAAATACAAAAAGCCATTCGTGTCGTCTCATCATTAAACCACAATCCAGTATCATTTTCCGTTGTTCCATTCCTGTCGTCATTCCCAATTATTGCACTTCTTGTTCGAATGCCTTCTTGAACAGCCAGGTCTTTAATTTCCTGCAGAATATCATCAGGGAAGGAGCCAGTCTGATGTCCACGGGAAGGGTGTTCCACAGCCGAGGAGCCACCACCGAGAAGGCCCTGTCTCTCGTCCCCGCCAGGCGTGCCTGTGAGGCAGGCTGGATCGAGAGCAGAGCCTCCCTGGACGATCTCAAAGACCTGGTGGGCTCGTAGGCCGAGATGCGGTCAGATAGGTATCTTGGGCCGGAACCATTTAGGGCAGCGGTTCTCAACCTGGGGGTCGCGACCCCCAGGGGGGTCACCTGGCCATTTTGGAGGGGTCGCAAGGCCGCCTCCGTTGGCCCCGCCCCAAGGACACTGGCCAGGTGAGGGCTCATTTGCACAAGGCCTAGCTTCGCACAAAGCCCGCCTCGCCTGCCTCACATTCTTGCCATCCGGCAAGCGTGTGGGGCATGCGAGGGGTCCTTCGCACGAGGGCATAGGGCAGGCAAGGGGTCCTCCACACGAGGCCTGGCCTCATGCAAAGCCAGCCTCACCTGCCTCACACTCTCGCCATCCAGCGAGGATGTGGGGCAGGCGAGGGGTCCTCCGCACGAGGCCAGATCTCGCGCAAAGCCCGTCTCGCCTGCCTCACTCTCTCACCATCCGACAAAGCCATAGGGCAGGTGAGGTCGAGGGTCACCACAACATGGTTGGGGGTCACCACAACATGAGGAACCATATTTAGGGGTCCTGGTGTTAGAAAGGTTGAGAACCACTGATTTAGGGCTTTATAGGCCAACGCCAGCACCTTGAATTGAGCCCGGTAGCAAATCGGCAGCCAATGGAGCTGGTACAACAAGGGCGTTGTATGCTCCCTGCGTCGCGCTCCTGTTAGTAATCTGGCTGCCGCACGCTGGACCAATTGAAGCTTCCAGGCCATCTTCAAGGGCAACCCCACGTAGAGAGCATTGCAGTAGTCTATGCGGGATGTAACCAGAGCGTGGACTACCGTGGCCAAGTCAGACTTCCCGAGGTACGGGCGCAGCTGGCGCACGAGCCTAAGCTGTGCAAATGCTCCCCTGGTCACCGCCGAGACCTGGGGCTCCAGGCTCAGCGACGAATCCAGGATCACACCCAAGCTGCGAACCTGCGCCTTCAAGGGGAGTGCGACCCCATCCAGCACAGGCTGTAACCCTATGCCCTGTTCGTAACCCTATACCCTATGAAAACATTTTTCTCGCAGAAAAGGGCTGAGAGTAGAAAAGTTTAAGGGGTCCTGACTTAGACTGAAATAGACCCATTCCAGCTTTCCAGATTTATACATATCCTCCATTTTTGAAACAGCAAAGTCAGGAATCCAGCCAAATGATAACATGTAATTTATAATGATGTAATAATCCATGGATGTGCTTATTAATCATTTTAGTAGGATTATGTAGTTGGGTCTGCAATAGTAAAGGGTTTTTTTACTTTTCATTCCAATCAGGATTAGGGAGTCACAGCCCTGCAGTAAATTAGTTACATGTCTTCCCCCCCCCCCCTTTTTTTTTTTTCTCTTTCGTTTTTTTTAGGTCTCATTTTTCTTGTTGTTTCTTTCTTTTTTAAAAAATATTTGATTGTAAAGTACTGTATATACTCAAGTATAAGCCTAGTTTTTCAGTCCTTTTTTAGGCTGAAAAAGCCCCCTTCGGCTTAGACCCGAGTTGAAATTTTTCATTATTTTACTCTATCTATATATATATAAATGCTCTGTGCATAATGAGTACCTTAAAAACAAAAGAACCAATGAACGAAATCACACCAAATTTGGCAACAAAACGTCTCACAACACAAGGAGTGACCATCACTCAAAAAATTATGATTTTGTCATTTGGGAGTTGTAGTTGCTGGGATTTATAGTTCACCTACAATCAAAGAGTATTCTGAACTCCACCAACGATGGAATCGAACCAAACTTTTTTTGCTGCCACATCACATTCCTGGCCCTAAACGGTTCTGGCCCAACTTATCTATCCGAACGTATCTCAGCCTATCAGCCCACCAGGACCCTAAGATCTTCTGGAGAGTCCCTGCTCTCTATCCCGCCGGCTTCACAAGTGCGGTTGGCGGGAACGAGAGACAGGGCCTTTTCTGTGGTGGCCCCTCGGCTTTGGAACACCCTCCCTTTAGAGGTACGATCAGCCTCTACGCTGATGGTGTTTCGGAAGAGACTGAAAACATGGTTGTTCAAACAAGCATTTGGCTAATACGTTGCAACCGAATGTTGATGACTAAAGGATTGACAATCACGGACGACGAATTTGGATTGGGATTTTAGTTACGAGATGCATCGGATTATTATTGGTGGCCCAATAATTTGTATTATAATTGTGTTTCATGTTTTTAATATGGTATTGTTTTTAATTGTTGTAAACCGCAATGAGTCGCCGACTTCGGCTGAGATATTAGCGGTATACAAGCCTATAAATAAATAAATAAATAAATGTTTAACTTGTTGTCCACGAGGACTCCAAGATCTTTTTCACACGTACTGCTCTCAAGCCAGGCATGTCCCCCATTCTGTATCTTTGCATTTCGTTTTTTCTGCCTAAGTGGAGTATCTTGCATTTGTCACTGTTGAACTTAATTTTGTTAGTTTTGACCCATCTCTCTAATCTGTCAAAATCGTTTTGATCGTTTTGAATCCTGCTCCTGTCCTCTGGAGTATTGGCTCTCCCTCCCAATACTCCAGACACTAGATTCCACTTTGGCAGGAAAAACAAAATGCAAAGATACAGAATGGGGGACAATGCCTGGCTCGAGAGCAGTACGTGAAAAAGATCTTGGAGTCCTCGTGGACAACAAGTTAAACATGAGCCAACAATGTGATGTGGCGGCAAAAAAAGCCAATGGGATTTTGGCCTGCATCAATAGGAGCATAGTGTCTAGATCTAGGGAAGTCATGCTCCCCATGCTCTATTCCGCTTTGGTTAGACCACACCTGGAATATTGTGTCCAATTCTGGGCACCACAATTCAAGAGAGATATTGACAAGGTGGAATGTGTCCAGAGGAGGGCGACTAAAATGATCAAGGGTCTGGAGAACAAGCCCTATGAGGAGCGGCTTAAGGAGCTGGGCATGTTTAGCCTGAAGAAGAGAAGGCTGAGAGGAGATATGATAGCCATGTATAAATATGTGAGAGGAAGCCACAGGGAGGAGGGAGCAAGCTTGTTTTCTTCTTCCTTGGAGACTAGGACGCGGAACAATGGCTTCAAACTACAAGAGAGGAGATTCCATCTGAACATGAGGAAGAACTTCCTGACTGTGAGAGCCATTCAGCAGTGGAACTCTCTGCCCCGGAGTGGTGGAGGCTCCTTCTTTGGAAGCTTTTAAACAGAGGCTGGATGGCCATCTGTCAGGGGTGATTTGAATGCAATATTCCTGCTTCTTGGCAGAATGGGGTTGGACTGGATGGCCCATGAGGTCTCTTCCAACTTTTTGATTCTATGATTCTGTGATTCTGTGATTCTATGATTCTATGATTCTATGATTCTATGATGCAGGCCAAAATCCCATTGGTTTTTTTTGCCAGCGCATCACATTGTTGGCTCATGTTCAACGTTTTGTCCATGAGGACTCCAAGATCTTTTTTTAAATTGCTGGGATGTATAGTTCACCTACAAACAAAGGGCATTCTGAACCCCGCCAATGATAGAATTGGGCCTTTAAATTGCTGGGATGTATAGTTCACCTACAAACAAAGGGCATTCTGAACCCCGCCAATGATAGAATTGGGCCAAACCTCCCACACAGATCCCCACAACCAACAGAAAATACTGGGTTTCATTGTGATCTTTGGTGACCTCTCTGACATCCTCTTCATGAGGTTGAGAAACACTATTCTAGATCTGGGTTGTTGTAGGGTTTTTTTGGGCTGTATGGCCATGGTCTAGAGGCATTCTCTCCTGACGTTTCGCCTGCACTTTTGCAAGCATCCTCAGAGGTAGTGAGATCTGTTGGAACTAGGCAAAAGGGTTTATATATCTGTGGAATGACCAGGGTGGGACAAAGGACTCTTCTCTGCTGGAGCTAGATGTATTCTAGACAGGCCCGTAGCCAGGATTTCGTTTTGGGGGGGGGGCTGAATTTTTTTCAGGTGGGGGTTTGGGGGAGCTGAGTCTGAGTGAAAGAGGGTCTAGCCTAGCAAACCTTTTGTATCATTACCCCAATACCCCCATGCATATGGGATATATTGAGTATGGTGATCAGATCATGATATGAATAAACATAACAGTTTAAATAATGCACCAGTAAGGCCTTTTTGCGAACCACCATGAGAATTTCAGGGGGGGGGGGCTGAAGCCCCTCAAGCCCCCCGCCTGGCTACATGCCTGCTTGTAGGTCTTCTTCTGAATGTGCACAGATGACATTGTCATCAGCATACTGGAGTTCTATAATAGATGTTGTTGTAACCTTGGTTTTGGCTTTCAGTCTGCTGAGGTTAAATAGCTTGCCAACTGTCCGATAGATGATTTCCACTCCGGTGGGAAGCTTCCCATCAACAAGGTGAAGTATTTTGGACTTGTGGTTCACCTACATCCAGAGAACAAACAATGATGGATCTGGACCCCGCCCCCCCCCCCCCCCCCCCCCCGGCTACATGCCTGATTCTAGATCACCTGAAATGGTGCTTTCTTTCGTCCTTTTCCGTCTGTTAAAGATTCTGTGCATTTTCTCTTTCAGGTTCGTTCTTTCCGGAGAGCAAGCCCTCGGACACTGTTTTTAAAATTGCCTTTTGGCTTGGCTATCTGAACAGCTGCATCAACCCCATCATCTACCCGTGTTCGAGTCAAGAGTTTAAGAAGGCATTCCAGAATGTCCTCCGAGGCCGGTGTCTTCCACGGAGATACTCGGCCAACAAATACTCCCTGAGCTTTAACCACCACCATCCGAGCAACCACGTTGCAGAGACTCCGAAAGATGTTGTCTGTATTCCCGTCAACTCCGGAGAGAACTTCTACAAGATTTCCAAATCAGATGGTATCTGCGAGTGGAAACTTTTTTCGGCGGTGCAAAGCATGTCGACCAAGAGCGCGAGCTCTAAAGACAAGGCCAAAGTCAAGAGCAAAGGTTTCCTGCGGGTATGCTGCTGTGCTGGCACATCAGGAAACAATCATCCGAAGGGTCAGAAAGTGCCCACTATTAAAATACACACAATCTCTATCAGTGATAATGGAGAGGATGTCTGAAGTTGCATGTCCTTCCTGTAGAACTGGCTGAGATTCATAGACTATGAGGAGAAGACTAAGAAGAACAAGCCAACCGATGGAGAATACTGATGTGCAGAGACTTTGGGCCAAACCCCGTCTAGGTTGAATTCAGTGGAAAGCATGTCCACCAAAGTGATAGAAATCGCACTGGAATCTGTGGACCCATTTCAGGCTGGACTCCTTAAAATGATGCTGATTGTTGACGGCTTTCATGGCCGGAATCACTGGGTTGTTGTAGGTTTTTTCGGGATATATGGCCATGTTCTAAAGGCATTTTCTCCTGACGTTTCGCCTGCATCTATGGCAAGCATCCTCAGAGGTAGTGAGGTCTGTTGGAACTAGGAAAATGGGTTTATATATCTGTGTAATGACCAGGATGGGACAAAGGACTCTTGTCTGTTGGAGCTAGGTGTGAATGTTTCAACAGAAAGGAGGAAAACATGAAAATGAACAAAATCTGGCTACCAGTATTAAAAATAAACTCTAAAATTAGAATAGCACAACAACAGAGAGGAAACAAACAAGGACATCTAATCATCTCTCAACAAAAGATTGCTCCAGGCACTGTCAGGCCATTATATGCTAATCAAGGTGGTCAGTTGAAACATTCACACCTAGCTCCAGCAGACAAGAGTCCTTTGTCCCACCCTGGTCATTCCACAGATATATAAACCCTTTTTCCTAGTTCCAACAGACCTCACTACCTCTGAGGATGCTTGCCATAGATGCAGGCGAAACGTCAGGAGAAAATGCCTTTAGAACAAGGCCTTATATCCCAAAAAAACCTACAACAACCCACCGATGCTGATATTATTTCCCTTCTGTTTTTAAGATTCTGTGATTCATTTTATTTGATTTCATATCGTTTGACAGTTTTGTTTACCAAGGAACGAAAACGGTGTTGTAATATATCCTATAACTGAGAACTGTCAATACGTGGTCTTGGTTTCATCACAGGTACTTTTAATTGTAAACGTTCATTTTTTTGTGATTGAAAAAAAACCTGTTTTCGAGATGGGTCAATTTGAGAAGAGATAAAAAAGGAAGCTTTTGAGAAAATTCAGAAGTTATTGTATTGTTGAAGGTGTTTCATGACCAGAATCACTGGGTTGCTGTGAGTTTTTTGGGCTGTATGGCCATTTTTAATTTTTTTTATTTCATATCAAAAGCATTGCATGAATTAGTATAAAACTGATAAAAATAGAAAGCGCACAGGCGGCTAAATATCTTTTGACCAGAAACGGGCAACAGCAATGGCATTGTCTGTAGCCTCCAACAATTCTTCCTCTGTACATCAGGCAGGGCATAGTGTACAAGCATACAAATGCGGAGTTGTCTGTTCTGCTCCACAGTCACATTCTTCCTCTGTACATCAGGCAGGGCATAGTGGACAAGCATACACATGCGGAGTTTTCTGTTCTGCTCCACAGTCACATTCTTCCTCTGCACATGAGGCAGGACATAGTGGACAAGCACACAAATGCGGAGTTGTCTGTTCTGCTCCACAGTCACATTCTTCCTCTGTACATCAGGCAGGGCATAGTGGACAAGCATACAGATGCGGAGTTGTCTGTTCTGCTCCACAGTCACATTCTTCCTCTGCACATGAGGCAGGGCATAGTGGACAAGCACACAGATGCAGAGTTGTCTGTCCTGCTCCATGGTCACATTCTTCATCTGTACATGAGGCAGGGCAGAGTGGACAAGCACACAAATGCAGAGTTGTCTGTTCTGCTCCACAGTCACATTCTTCCTCCGTACATCAGGCAGGGCATAGTAGACAAGCATACAGATGCGGAGTTGTCTGTTCTGCTCTACAGTCACATTCTTCCTCTGTACATCAGGCAGGGCATAGTAGACAAGCATACACATGCGGAGTTGTCTGTTCTGCTCCACAGTCACATTCTTCCTCTGTACATCAGGCAGGGCATAGTAGACAAGCATACAGATGCGGAGTTGTCTGTTCTGCTCTACAGTCACATTCTTCCTCTGTACATCAGGCAGGGCATAGTGGACAAGCATACAAATGCGGAGTTGTCTGTTCTGCTCCACAAATTCTTCCTCCGTACATGAGGCAGAGCATAGTGGACAAGCATACAAATGCGGAGTTGTCTGTTCTGCTCCACAGTCACATTCTTCCTCTGTACATCAGGCAGGGCATAGTGGACAAGCATACAGATGCGGAGTTGTCTGTCCTGCTCCACAGTCACATTCTTCCTCTGTACATGAGTCTGTTCAGGGACTTCTAGGTTGCCCATTCTTGGTTTGCCCCTGGAGGAAGACCGTCTCTTGTGGGGGGCCATCTAGTTGGGATTTCCTTCTTTAGCTCCCAGAGGGATACCCTTGCTGTTGCTGGGGGGATGCCAAGAGGAGTGGTGGTTCTCATAAAGCTTTTCTTTGATTTGAGTCTACTGGGAGGAGGCTGGTAGCCATGTAGTGGGTGGCTTTCAGTGTTCAACCTTATTTCGCTCACACTTAGCAGCACATCAGTTTTGTTTTTGTTTTTTGTATGGCCATTTTCCAAAATCTTTCTCTCCTGACGTATCACCCACATCTATGGAGCCCCCGGTGGCACAGTGGGTTAAACCCCTGTGCCGGCAGGACTGAAGACCGACAGGTCACAGGTTCGAATCCGGGGAGAGGAGATGAGCTCCCTCTATCAGCTCCAGCTCCTCATGCGGGGACATGAGAGAAGCCTCACACAAGGATGATAAAAAAAATCAAATCCGGGCGTCCCCTGGGCAACGTCCTTGCAGACGGCCAATTCTCACCAGAAGCGACTTGCAGTTTCTCAAGTCGCTCCTGACACGACAAAAAAAAAACAACCCACATCTATGGCAGGCATCCTCAGAGGCTGTGAGGTCTGTTGGAAACCAGGCAAGTGGGTTTTATATATCTGTGGAATGATGTCCAGAGTAGGAGAAGGAACTCTTATCTGTTTGAGGCAGGTGTGAATGTGGCAATTGGCCACCTTGATTAGCCTTTAATTGCAATGAACCAACCTGGACACAGCATATTATTTGAGAACACAGAAATGCTGGACGACTCTAACAGCTTACTAGGCTTGGGTGATCCAAAAAAAAAAAAAGGTTCAAAACTCGTTTCGGATGTAGGCCCCCGCTGGTGATTCGATTTTGAAATTATTTCCGAAATTTTCTTGGAAAAAAGATCAGAAATATCAGAAATCCGAATTGCTTCATTTGCTTCGTTAATGGAAGGTGCCCCTCCCTCCCTCCAGAACCATTATAATCTCGCAGTTTCCCTTCCTTCCCTTGCGGCGAGCTGTGATGCAGAGGGACGGGGTGGGCGTGGCTAAGCACAGCTCTTCTTGAAGGCCACGCCCCCAGTGGCCTTCAGGAAGAGTTGTTCCTAGCTACGCCCACCTCGTCCCTCTTTGCATCGCTGGGCGTGCAAAGCCACATCCGAAAATAATTCCGAACAATGGGGAAGTTGTTTCAGTTCGGAATTGCTCCTCCCACTATTCCTGCATGGCTCGAAATTGGATCAAAAGGTAATTTAATCCGAATTAATTACGATTTTAGAAACTAACGAACAAACTTACCCAAGCCTATTGCTTACTTACTTACTTACTTAGGTGATCCCTCATTGTCGGAGTAGGATAGTATTCCAAGATCAGTGCAATTGTGGGTCTGTAGTTGGCTGTGGAGCCCTATTTTATTTATTTACTGTATTTATATACCGCCCCTCTCAGCCTTCCAGCAACTTGAGGCGGTTTACAAGGCAAAATTCAATGCCACAAAAAACACAATTCCATTATAAAAACGTTAATGTCAATAAAATCATAACAACAACAATAAAACATAATTAAATAAATACTCAAATAAATACCCTATTCTTGCTCTGCATGTTCTCCCGCAGTGAAGGCATTGGTTTCCAGGTGGAAGGTGGTCTTAGTCAGGGTTGGCTTGACGTGCCTTCTTCTTGACACGGTTCTCTCTTTCCATTCGTGTCTCTTCAAATTCCACAGCACTGCTGGTCACAGCTGACCTCCAGCTGGAGCGCGCAAGGGCCAGGGCTTCCCAGTTCTGAGAGTACTCAAGGGCCAGGGCTTCCCAGTTCTCAGAGTCTATGCCAGAGTTTTTAAGGTTGGCTTTGAGCCCATCTTTACATCTCTTTTCCTGTCCACCAACATTCCGTTTTCCGTTCTTGAGTTCGGAGTAGAGCGACTTCTTTGGGAGACGGTGGTCAGGCATCTAACACTACCATGTCAGAATACACAGAGAAGCCATTGAAATCCACAAGTATGTGGGGTTTTTTTTGTCGTGTCAGGAGCGACTTGAGAAACTGCAAGTCGCTTCTGGTGTGAGAGAATTGGCTGTCTGCAAGGACGTTGCCCAGGGGACACCGGATGATTTGATTTTTTTTATCATCCTTGTGGGAGGCTTCTCTCATGTCCCCGTATGAGGAGCTGGAGCTGATAGAGGGAGCTCATCCGCCTCTCCCCGGATTCAAACCTGCAACCTGTCGGTCTTCAGTCCTGCCGGCACAGGGGTTTAACCCACTGCGCCACCGGGGGCTCCAAATATGTGGATAGTTTCAATAAAAAGGAGGATATCATGAAGATGAACAAAATCTGTCTACCAGTATTTTAAAAACTCCAAAATCAAAACAGTTAATAAAGAACAACATTCGAAAATGGGGGAATTTCAGACAAGAAACAATCAGAGCAAGCTAATCACCTCCCAACAAAGGACTCCCGACCTTGAAGATGCAAGGCCATTAAATGCTAATCAGGGTGGCCCATTGAAACATCACACCTGCCTCCAACAGACAAGAGTTCTTTCTCCCACCCTGGACATCCCACAGATATATAAATCCTATTTTCCTAGTTTCCAACAGACCTCACAACCTCTGAAGATGCCTGCCATAGATGCAGGTGAAACGTCAGGAGAGAATGCTTCTGGAATATGGCCACACAGCCTGGAAAGCTCACAGCAACTCAGAAGTTATTGATTTACTTCTCCTTTTATTGAAATGATTTTGTGTGTGTTAACAGAGCATTAACATTTATGAATGTTAAGGAGCATGACCAACCACCATCCTCAGTTCTGAGCTTGAAAGCCCCCCCCCCCCTTTAGATTGTGGGACTGAGAGTTTGGGGTCTGCTTTTCCAGGATGTCATCATATCCCATGTGGACAAGATAATTCAGTTGCTGAGGCTCTACTGTATTCTATTTGAGAGCAGAGAACATAATTCATGCTATTTTCAGAATTGATTATTCAGCTAGGAATAACCCGTATGTCCATTGGAACATTCACATGATGGCATCAGAGAGAAATAACTCCCACTTACGAAGTCTCTTTTCTCTCCCATTTTCTTGTCCCGAAGGTGTTTTAAATATCTTTGTGCATAGTTCAATGGCTTCATTGACTCTGGGGTCATGACTGTCAACTGTCTTAAAAATGCTGTCTGTCACATTCATTCCTGAATTGCAATGTGTATGATGGAAAATATTCAACTGCAAGATCATTGTGTTTGGAATAGTAACAATGCCATGAAACTCCCTTCTGAATCTCTGGGACCTTTCATAGCTTTTTGACCTATGCGTGTTGACTAATTTGTAATGGCATCCTTATTACTCCCTTGGCCCATTCTGTTGCTTCTTCTTCCTCCTCC